GCATGTTCGCCTCTTGGGCTTTCACCGCGTCCAAGACGGCCCAAGAGGCGCCAAAGACGGTCTACGAGGCCTCCGGGAGCGCTCCAAGGCTGCGCACGAGTGGCCCAGGACGGCCCCAAGACGGCCGAAGAGAGCCCCAAGACGAGTTCGAGAGGGGTCCCAGACGGAGAAAGCCAACCTCGAATTCAGAGCTTCCGGCCCAAGAGGCTCCAGGAGGCGCCAAAATGCCGCCAAGAGGCGCCAAAAAGGCTCCCAAAAGCACCCCAAGACGTTCCGAGAGGCACCCCACGAGAGGTCCAAGAAACAAAAATCTTGCCATTCCTATGGGGAAAAAAAAGTAAATGAATAAAAAAAAAATGAAAAGAAAAAAACAAAACGTATATTTTTCGCATGTTCGCATCTTGGGCTTTCACAGCGTCCAAGACGGCCCAAGAGGCCTCCAAGACGGCCTAGGAGGCCTCCGGGAGCGCTCCAAGGCTGCGCACGAACGGCTCAGGACGGCCCCAAGACGGCCCAAGAGAGCCCCAAGACGAGTTCGAGAGGGGTCCCAGACGGAGAAAGCCAACCTCGAATTCCGAGCTTCCGGCCCAACATATCCCAGGAGGCGCCAAAACGCCGCCCAGAGGCGCCAAAAGGCTTCCAAAATCAGCCCAAGACGTTCCGAGAGGCACCCCAAGAGGTCCAAGAAACAAAAATCGTGCCATTTCTATGGGAAAACGTATATTTTCGCATGTTCGCATCTTGGGCTTTCACCGCGTCCAAGACGGCCCAAGAGGCCTCCACGACCGCCCCAAGACGGCCCAAGAAGCTTCGAAGAGGGCCCCAGGACAGCCCAAGAGGGCCCCAAGACGGCCCAAGAGGCGCCTAAGATGGCCCAAGAGGGCCCCAAGACGGGCCCAAGAGGGGGGCCCGAGTGGGACCACGAAACCGCAGCTCGAGCCTTCCGCCCAAGATGCCGCCAGGAGGCCCCAAGGAGGCCCCTCAAGAGGCCCCAGGAGACCCCCAAGAGGCCCAAAGGAGGCCCCGAGAAGCCCCAAATCGGACCCCAAAATGCTTCGAACCTGCTTCCAGGAGGCCCCCGACAGGTTCAGAGGCTCCCGAGAAGCTACGTCAAACTCCCAGCGAGCGGCCGGACGAGGCCCCCCACAAAATCACAAGAGGGTTCCAGTATGTGTATCCTTCAGCGCTCTCTGGCCTTCTTCCCCCTGCCCCCTTCCCTGCGACTTTCGTTGTCTCAAGCTCGCCTCCTAGCTAGAACCTAAGCGCGCGAAGCCGCGCGTGGTTCTAATATATATATATATATATATATAATGTATATAGATATTGATTTTCAGCCTCTCCTGTCTGCCGGGGGAGGGCCCGCCGAGGGTCGGGCGTCCCCGCCTCGGCAATTCGGGAAAGCAAAAAGAAAGTAGGAGCCAGAGCAGAGCAGGAGCAGGAGCAGCGCAGGAGCAGGAGCAGGAGCAGGAGCAGAACAGAGGCAGGAGGAGGAGGAGGAGGAGGAGGCATACAGTAGGAGGAGGAGGAGGGCAGGAGGAGGAGGAGGAGTAGGAGGAAGGAGGTAGGAGGAGGAGAGGGAGGGGAGGTAGGAGGAGGAGGGAGGAGGGAATGAGGGGGATGGAGGAGGGGGAGGAGCAGGAGGAGGGAGGAGGGATGGGAGGAGGAGGAGGAGGCGGAGGCCGATGAGGAGGAGGAGGAGGAGGAGGAGGAGGAGGAGGAGGCGGAGGAGGACGAGGACGAGGGAGGAGGAGGGGAAGGACGACGAGGACGAGGGAGCAGTAGGGCTGCCATTTGTGTTCAAGATACTTTTGCCGTGATGGCTTCTGCCTGGCCGCAGCAGCGGCAGACAGCGCCCATCCCGCCCGAGATCCGTTTGGCATGCCAATGCTGCCAGTCTCGGGAAGGGCCATCGTGTTGGCGGGCGCGCTCGCGGGGGTGTCGTTGATTGCCGCGCGGGCGGCATGGAAGGCGGCCCCCGCTGGAGCAGCTGCCCCAGAGCCTCTCCCGCGGGCGGCGCGGCGTCGGCAGGAGCAGAGCAGCGTCCCCGCCAGCCCGCGGCACGCTGACGGGCGCGACGTTGCGGGCGTCGGCGACGCAGGCGAAGGCTCGGTGCGGTCGGCTGCGGCGGCCGCAGGCATGTCGGGCGGACGTCCAGTGTCATATACAGAGACGTCAACATACACAGAAACATCACGGAGAGGATCCTCCAGAACACCAGGAGTCACGACGGCATCAACGAGGGATAGCGGCACGTATGCCGCCACCAGTACGTCAGGAGACCGTATTTCTGAAAGAATGGCCAGGATTGTGACCGGCACCACCAGCCCCACAAGTTCGACATATTTTGTCAGTTCGGTGAGCAGCACGACAGAGTCCAACAGCACGGCAGTGATCAGTACGACGCAGAGCAGCATTACAGAGTCGAGCAGCGCGACAGAGATTAGCAGCACGGCAGTGAGCAGTACGACGCAGAGCAGCACGACAGAGTCCAGCAGCGCGATTGTGACCAGCTTGTCGATGACGAGCACAACGACGTTGACGAGCACGACAGAGACTAGCACCACGACGTCAACCAGTACGACGGAGTCGAGCAGCAGCACGACAGAGTCCAGCACCACAACGTTGACGAGCACGACAGAGACTAGCAGCACGGCAGTGAGCAGTACGACGCGGAGCAGCACTACAGCGTCGAGCAGCGCGATTGTGACCAGCTTGTCGATGACGAACACTAAGACGCTGACGAGCACGACAGAGACTAGCAGCACGGCAGTGAGCAGTACGACGCAGAGCAGCACGACAGAGTCCAACAGCGCGCTTGTCACCAGCTTGTCGATGACGAGCACCAAGACGTTGACGAGCACGACAGAGACTAGCACCACGACGTCAACCAGTACGACGGAGTTGAGCAGCAGCACGACAGAGCCCAGCACCGCAACGTTGACGAGCACGACAGAGACTAGCAGCACGGCAGTGAGCAGTGCGACGCAAAGCAGCACGACAGAGTCCAGCAGCGCGATTGTGACCAGCTCATCGATGACGATCACCAAGCCGTTGACGAGCACTACAGAGACTAGCACCACGACGTCAACCAGTACGACGGAGTCGATGAGCAGCGCGACAGAGTCCAGCACCACGACGTTAACCAGTGCGACAGAGACTAGCACGACAGAGACTAGCAGCACGACAGTGAGCAGTCCGACGCGGAGCAGCACGACAGAGCCCAGCAGCGCGATTGTGACAAGCCTGTCGATGACGAGCACCGCGACGTTGACGAGCACGACAGAGACTAGCACCACGACGTCAACCAGTACGACGGAGTCGAGCAGCAGCACGACAGACTCCAGCACCACAACGTTGACCAGCACGACAGCGACTAGCAGCACGGCAGTGAGCAGTACGACGCGGAGCAGCACTACAGTGTCGAGCAGCGCGATTGTGACCAGCTTGTCGATGACGCGCACCGCGACGGTGACGAGCACGACGGAGACTAGCAGCACGGCAGTGAGCAGGAAGACGCAGATCAGCACGACAGAGTCCAGCAGCGCGACGTCAACCAGTACGACGAAGTCGAGCAGCAGCACGACAGAGTCCAGCACCACAACGTTGACGAGCACGACAGAGACTAGCAGCACGGCAGTGAGCAGTACGACGCGGAGCAGCACTACAGCGTCGAGCAGCGCGATTGTGACCAGCTTGTCGATGACGAGCACTAAGACGTTGACGAGCACGACAGAGACTAGCAGCACGGCAGTGAGCAGTACGACGCAGAGCAGCACGACAGAGTCCAGCAGCATGATTGTCACCAGCTTGTCGATGACGAGCACCAAGACGTTGACGAGCACGACAGAGACTAGCACCACGACGTCAACCAGTACGACGGAGTTGAGCAGCAGCACGACAGAGCCCAGCACCACAACGTTGACGAGCACGACAGAGACTAGCAGCACGGCAGTGAGCAGTACGACGCGGAGCAGCACTACAGAGTCGAGCAGCGCGATCGCGACCAGCTTGTCGATGACAAGCACCAAGACGGTGACGAGCACGACAGAGACTAGCAGCACGGCAGTGAGCAGTGCGACGCAAAACAGCACGACAGAGTCCAGCAGCGCGATTGTGACCAGCTCATCGATGACGATCACCAAGCCGTTGACGAGCACTACAGAGACTAGCACCACGACGTCAACCAGTACGACGGAGTCAATGAGCAGCGCGACAGAGTCCAGCACCACGACGTTAACCAGTACGACAGAGTCTAGCACGACAGAGACTAGCAGCACGACTGTGAGCAGTCCGACGCGGAGCAGCACGGCAGAGCCCAGCAGCGCGATTGTGACCAGCCTGTCGATGACGAGCACCGCGACATTGACGAGCACGACAGAGACTAACACCACGACGTCAACCAGTACGACGGAGTCGAGCAGCAGCACGACAGACTCCAGCACCACAACGTTGACCAGCACGACAGCGACTAGCAGCACGGCAGTGAGCAGTACGACGCGGAGCAGCACTACAGTGTCGAGCAGCGCGATTGTGACCAGCTTGTCGATGACGAGCACCGCGACGGTGACGAGCACGCCAGAGACTAGCAGCACGGCAGTGAGCAGTACGACGCAGATCAGCACGACAGAGTCCAGCAGCGCGATTGTGACCAGCTTTTCGATGACGATCACCAAGCCGTTGGCGAGCATGACAGAGTCCAGCACCACGACGTCAACCAGTACGACCAAGTCGAGCAGCAGCACGACAGTGTCCAGCACCACAACGTTGACGAGCACGACAGAGACTAGCAGCACGGCAGTGAGCAGTACGACGCGGAGCAGCATTGCAGAGTCGAGCAGCGCGATTGTGACCAGCTTGTCGATGACGAGCACTAAGACGTTGACGAGCACGGCAGAGACTAGCAGCACGGCAGTGAGCAGTACGACGCAGAGCAGCACGACAGAGTCCAGCAGCGCGATTGTGACCAGTTTGTGGATGACGAGCACCACGACGTCAACCAGCACGACAGAGTCCAGCAGCACGCCAGTGAGCAGTACGACGCAGAGCAGCCGTACAGAAACGGACAGCGCGATTGTGACCAGCAGCGCGGCAATGAGCAGTACGACACAGATCATCATTACAGAGTCGAGCAGCGCGATTGTGACCAGCCTGTCGATGACGAGCACCAAGACGTTGACGAGCACGACAGAGACTAGCACCACGACGTCAACCAGAACGACGCAGACGAGCAGCAGCACGACAGAGTCCAGCAGCACGGCAATTAGCAGTATTGACGGCAGGCAGATTGACGATCGAGCACGCGATTGCGACCAGCCTGTCGATGACAGCGAGCATCCACGACGTTGTCGAGCTCGACAGAGTCACGAGCACGACAGAGACTTGCAGCACGGCAGTGAGCAGTTCGACGCGAGCGGGGCATGCAGTGGTTCCTGCTGCAAGTTTTGTGACCAGACTGTCGATGACGAGCACCACGACATTAAACGAGACGACAGAGACTAACACCACGACGTCAATCCGTTACGACGGAGTCGAGCAGCAGCACGACAGAGTCCAGCAGCACGGCATGACCAGTACGACCGCAGGAGCAAGCATTACAGGGTCGAGCACGCGATTGTGACAGCAGCACGGCAGTGAGCAGTACGACGCGGAGCAGCACTACAGAGTCGAGCAGCGCGATTGTCACCAGCTTGTCGATGACGAGCACCAAGACGTTGACGAGCACGACAGAGACTAGCAGCACGGCAGTGAGCAGTACGACGCGGAGCAGCACTTCAGTGTCGAGCAGCGCGATTGTCACCAGCTTGTCGATAACGAGTACCACGACGTTGACGAGCACGACAGGGACTAGCAGCACGGCAGTGAGCAGTACGACGCGGAGCAGCACTACAGAGTCGAGCAGCGCGATTGTCACCAGCTTGTCGATGACGAGCACCAAGACGTTGACGAGCACGACAGAGACTAGCAGCACGGCAGTGAGCAGTACGACGCAGAGCAGCACTACAGTGTCAAGCAGCGCCATTGTGACCAGCCTGTCGATGACGAGCACCAAGACGTTGACGAGCACGACAGAGATTCTATAGGCTTACGCCACATCCGCCGACCCCTCTGTGAACTACTGCGCGTCCAGGACTGCATTCCACGACCGTATTGGAAGCAATTGTTGGGCTTCTTGGGGGGCTGTTGGGGGCGTTTGGGGGCCTTGTTGGGGCTTCCTGGGGGCTTCCTGGGACCTCTTGGGAGGTTCTTGGCACCCTGGGGGCGTCTTGGAGAGGAAGGCCGGAGATTTCCGTGCCAGTTTGGGCCCATTTTCGGGGCCGTCATGGGGCCTCTTGGGCCGTCTTGGAACCCTCCTGGGGGCCCTTTGGGCCGTCTTGGGCGTACCGAGCACCCAAGAGGTGGATGTGCTTGAAATATACGTTTCCCGTAGGGAGTAGGGCGATTTCCCCAATCTCCTAAGATGGGATTTTGGTTATTACTCTGACGCCGCCGACTCCTCAGTCAGGCCTCCTCCCATTCTCGTCTCCTCCTACTTAGAATCGTCCATATTCTGATTCCTTCGCACTCATACTACTCAGAGTTGTTCACATTCAGACTCACTCATACTCATACTCTTTCGGATTCACTCATGCCAAGACTCTGTCGCAGTCATTCATTCATATTCCGAAGATTCGGAGGATGTCGCAGGTGGGGTGTTGGTTTCAGCACCCCTGAGGGGAGCCGCCAGAGGGGTATTGCACGGCCTCTCAGGCGGTTTGCCTGTTGCGGTGACCTTTGTGTTGACAGCAGGTTGTGAGGATGTCACAGGCGGGGCGCTGGTTTCAGCACCCGTAAGGGGAGCCGCCAGGGGGTATTGCACGGGCCCGTTCGCGGCCAGTTTGTGGGGATGTCTCAGGCGGTTTGCCTGTTTCGTTGGCCATTATCGTCTGCGTATAGACCAGATTGTGAGGATATCTCAGGCGGAGAGCTGGTTTCAGCAACCTTAATGGGAGCCGCCAGGGGGTGTTCTCACGGGCCCGTGCGCGGCCAGTTTGTGGGGATGTCTCAGGCGGTTTGCCTGTTTCGGTGGCCAACATCGTCCGCGTTTATAGCAGTTTGTGAGGATGTCTCAGGCGGGGTGCTGGCTTCAGCACCCCTAAGGGGAGCCGCCGGGGGGCATGACACGGGCCCGTTCGCGGCCAGTTTGTGGGGATGTCTCAGGCGGCTCGCTTGTTTTGTGGCTCAACATCCTTTTCTTTCAGAGCAGATTTGGAGCATGTCTCAGGCGGGGAGCTGGTTTCAGCAAGATTAAGGGGGCTGGTTTCCTGTTCTCTCTCGCTCCTCCGCTCCCTGTCCTGTGCGCTTCCTCGGTGCACCTCTGTCGCGTCCTCGCTCGGGCCTCTGGGGGCCGAGTCGACCTCGGGGGAGTTGGCCTCAGGGGGCAGATCCAGTGATCCACAGGACGGCAGGGCGTTCTTGGTTGAAGGCCGTCTTTGTTACACCCCGGGTGGGTGAGTGGGGAAATGGCTGATGACGCAGGATGTTCTTCTGCGGC